AAAAGCCCATTTGGAGAGTTTATTTATGCCCTGCCTGTTGCTAATTCATTGGCAAGTCAAGCCTTTCCAGGAAATCTGAATTTACTTGATAGGAGGAGGGGGGAAAAAAAGAAGGGAGGATGGTAGTTTTAACAGGTGGCCTGTTTTTTTGTTTTTATTTTGAATAGGCTTCTCTTGCTGAGTGTAGCTGGGGATTATCATAACTGGGAGCACACTTCCTGGATTCTCGAAAAGAGCTTGGATTGAATGGCACTGGATGCCTGCCAATCCAACTGGCTAGCTATTACTGCTAATTTGCCAAGGAAAAGAGTGTAAGGTGTTGTTCAGATGACAACAACTTCAGCTCCCTAAATTACTCCTTCAGCTTTCTTTGCAAATCGACTGCACTGCTAGAGGCATTCATCCTTTGTGATAAGCCTTGTTCATTTTTTAAAAAATATGTTTACTTTTGAGAAGGTAAGGCTTACCTAAGAAAGGATATAAATAGTTCATAAATAATAAACGCATGAAAAACACCTTGATAAAGCTGTCTGTCAGAAACTTTGGCTTAATCTCTCTAAGTCATCTTGCCTCAAAGGGTTGTTGTTGTGAAGGTATAGGATCTCCACGTAAGCTTGTTTGAACTCCTAGAGGAAAGATGGAGCCTAAATCTAAACATTAAAAGCAAGGGTGGGATGCTACTGGTTCCGCCTGGTTCTAAAGAGCTGGTTGCTCTGAAGAGCAGCAGATACCGAACCGGTTCTGTGTTTGCTGCTGTTTGGCCCACCCGCCCGCCTGGGCTCTTACCTGTCCTTTATTTCCTGCTTTTTCAACTTCAACAGCTGTGTGCGGCACAGCTGAGGTTGAAAAAGCAGGAAAAAATAGGCTATTCAAACGCTGTGCACCCAGGCGCAGCGCTTTTCAGCTGTCTGGACGACACAGCTGTTTTTTGTTTTTTTTTACATGCACGCGCAGCAAAATGGAGTCACCAAACCGATAGTAACCCTGGTTCAATCCCACCCCGATTACAAGCAAAAATAAAATATGCAAAGTCTCTGAGCAAAGAAACGCCTGCAACTCTCCTTGTTGATACTCTTCTATTCTTCATCCTGCAATAGTCCTATCCGCTTTGCTGCTCTGCAAAATATGTTTCCCTTCCACCTTGGTAGTTTTTGAACTTCGATCTAATAGAGGTATATGTTTTTCATATCTAGCCTTTCCTAAAGGGCTACATATAACATTTTTATTTGTACAGAAGCCTGTAACATTTTTCAAACTAACGGTTTGACTTCCCCTGAACGCTCCTCTGTCTTTAGGTGTTGGGCCTGAAACAGTGGAATGCCTGAAGATTGGCAACTGCAAGAGTCCTGCTTGCCACAAGATTGATAGAAAATGCTTTGGTATTGTTGTTTGGTGTAACGTTGGTGGAAGGTTCTAATGGGAATATGTTCCTATCATGGTGAGTTCACTGTTTCCCTTCATTGTGGGTAGTGATATTTTTTCTGACACATCTTAAGTTTGGTGGATGTAGAACAGAGCTTCAAGGCATGCTGTGGACATCTGGTCTTTTAATGATTTGGGGGATGTTCTGGTTGTGGATTTTTTCCTTAGGTTGAGAAATATGGGGCATGGCAGTCCATTCAGCTGCATGGTGAGGCCACCTCTGTCTCTTATTCATCACTCCTGATGTAATGTGAGCATACTGGCTTGCTGTGTTTGCTATTCTGGCTGTCTATATAATGAGTCTTGAAAAAAAATTAATTGAAAGCCCTTTAGAGTTTAGCCTTATGGACTATGGCATAGCACTGGATAAAGATAGCAGATGTCCAATGTACGTTGAAAAATCTTTGTTGCATTTTTCTTTAAAGAAGTTATCTGAATAGACATTTATTTCAAAATGAGAATTTCTGAAACAAAGGTTATTTCAGAATGCAGGGCCTGTACCATTGCTTTCCTTTTGTGTTTCAAGACATATGTTAAGATGTACTTGTGTGTCTGCGTGCACAATGCATTACATTGCAAACAGTAGGTTAAAATGAAACAACCCTCTGTTTTTGCTTGACTGAATAACTCTCTAGGAAAAAGAACACACAAAATAAACAATAAAATCCACATTTTGTTTTGCCTTATAGAAATATGAATTGTATCAATAAACATGGTGTTTTTATGGCAGCTCTCACTGAGTTAAAAGCGTACAAGACTTGGGTCGTTTATTATTAGAGTACTTTTTCAGAATATTAGACATGAATGCTCTACGACTCTAGAATTCTGCTTGGCAACCAGGCCACACTCCCATCTGCTGCCGCACATAATGTGATAAGACAAGATCTCTGGCACAAGCCAACTTTCATTCTTCTATTCACTCAGATTTACCCTTTCAGTTTCTCATTGTTCTTTGCTAATGGCCTTACAGCGGGTCTCTCCCAGTTGCCTTTGGAGTTATCTGGAGGCCACGTTGGGGGTGGGGAGAAAAAGAGCCTAATCCCCCTTTGAATTTAAAGGGGCTTCTCTAAATGAATGAATGCAAATGGGAAGAGGCTGCCAGAAATGTCTGCTGCCTGCAGGAAGAGGATGTTCAGCAGCACAGCAGCATTCTCCAGCCATCAGCTGCTGCAGTGAGTTGGGCCTTCAAGTCCCAGGTGGGCCTCCTCCTGTCCCAACATTCCATCCAAAGATCCTCTCCCCACCCACTCACCCCCCCCCCCCCCGCCATCTGTAGGCCCAAGTTGCCACAAGGCCTATCTGGCATAGCCTTTTTTTCCCCAAGCCTTGTGCAAAGATGGCCCAGATAGGGTGACAGATGGGGCTAGGTTACAGCAGTTTAAGGCTAGACTGAAGCCTGAGAGCGTGTGCTGATAGCTCAATTCCAGACCAATGAACAAGAGAAAGGGTGGGGGGAACTATGACAGAGGGGAGTGAGAAGTCATGCTTAAGGGAGCTCTGTTTCAACCTGACCAGTTGTGCATCAGAGAAACCACCTGGGTTTGTGGTTCCTTTCTTCTGCCTCCAGAGTCACTCAAAATACACCAAAAGAGAAATGCTCTTGCAAGTAAGCCCCAAACTGGTATATGTACAGTTAATTTGGAGGAAGTGGGAGAAGCAAAGTTACAAGAACAAGGAAATATGCTTACTTTGCTTTAGTGGTCAGAATCAATACAAGTGATTTTATTGTCCAAAACAAGATGGGTAGAAGACAGCTGGTCTGCTAATTAAATCTTACTTGGGCCTATGGGTGATAGGGCAGCAAAAGGAGGTGAGAGGCCACGTGATAGGGTACCACATTTTGACATCCAATAGATAGCAACCAATCCATCGGTCATTTGGATTTTTGCACCCTGAAAATAGTAGCCCAAATACAAGATAGGTGCCTTGGATAAACAACAATCTCCATTTTACCCATCACGTGACATCTGAAGTAAATCTCCCACTCTGCCTAATGGTGAGGCTTTAGAAGAAGAAACATTGGTGAATGTTTCCCCCTTGGGTCAATACTAATACAAAAATGTTGAGTCAAACAAAGAATTAAGGTAGAGAACCTTTTGAAAATTTCTGTGCAGTATTAGAACATATATATAAATACATATACATGTGTGTGTGTGTGTGTGTGTGTGTACACACACACATGCAATATCTGGAGATGGATATTGCTGGCAGTGCTGTAATATTATTATATAAGCCTCATTCCTTTTCTCTCTCTGTGTTATGTTGTTGTATATGTTACTTGATAGGTACAGAACTTGAGGAGCATGGCTGAAACATTGCATTTGTCAATCTGAAAAGGCAACAAAAGCCTGTGGATGCAGCTGCTCTTCTGGGTGGATTCATTACTTGTTACATTAACAAGTATATTTTCCTTAGTAGCTCCCCCTTGAAACAAGTTTTTGAGTCTTGCAAACACTTGTTATTCATCTAGCTCTAGTCATGTGATCTCAGTTTCATCATACATATGTGTTCCGGTACTTGCCGAAGTGTCAAGCCCATTATCTCTCTTTATGTCTTATTCATGATACATTGTTTGGACGTACTGATTTTTGTTTGTTTGCAAAAGGAAAAATACCATTTAGGCAATGGTTTTCATACCTGGCAATTTAAGATGTTTGGGTTTCAGCTCCCAGAATTCTCCAACCAGCATACTTAAAGTTGCCAAGTTTGAAAAATGCTGACTTAGATCATATATTATAGGACATATTTACTCTATGTTGTATATTAAAACAGCAAGAGGTGTTGATTATTTTAATTCTGCGTCCAATTATCTTCATCTATGTGCTGCCACTGGATCAAGTGTGCATAAAAGTAAATACAGACAATTTTTTGTGTAAATCTACACTAGATGGATTAAAAGCAAGCAATTTGCAGAATTAATGCATAGGTTTCAATTACCATGCATAGAATGACTTTATTGCTTAATTTCTAAATTCATTAAATGTAAATTTTCAGATGAGAAATATACATATTTTATTACTATTTGTTAGCTTAAGTAGTTTATTGTTTTAGTTTTGAGATGATTTTTATTGAGGCAAATTTTGGCCTTTGTATCAAGTTTATCCAAAAATAGTCCATTGATTTCATTGGGGTTTACTTCCAGGTACATATGAGTAAATGGACACAGTAGTGACAGAATATAAGTATGATTGATCAGAGCTGGCGGTCTATTTTATCTTCCAATATATCTATTTTAATGAAGTTAAATGATTTAGAATTCTTTGCTAATGGATATCCAGATCTTTGTAGCCCAGATATTAAGTGTTATTTCAATATCCCACTGAATAGATGGACTCTTTAAGACTCCTTAGATCTTTGTTTTGTTGCTTGTGTATAGAGTTTGTGTTACCATGTGAAGAGGAAAAAAAGGCAGAATTTGTCATACAATAATTGAAAATTTCAGAGTTTTTCATTAGCTTCAAATTTTGGGGCTTCTTTGAATGGAAAAGGTTTTTTTTATTTCAAGAATTGACTTATATAACCTATATAATTAAGTCAGACTTATTTCTAAAGATGACTAGAATTACTGTTTTAACCAAGTTTTACTTGAATTAATTGTGCTTACTTTGACCACAACTTGCTATAGCTGTGAAGAAGATCTTCTTATTCTCTGCATTATTCTCTGCATTGTTGAATCTCATGACAATGTCTGCTTTCTTTGTATGGTCAGCTGTATGACTGATACACAAATGCTTTTAATGAGATAACAACACTCAAACCAACTAATTTAAATGGCATTTTCGGTTCCTGACTCCCATTTCAATAGAATTGCTGTGTACTGTATGTCTTTGGTCTCTGTATAGTTGTCTGTATGTGGATGGTTTTTACAGAAAAGGCTGTCATTCTCTTCAGATTTGCTAATAATACAGAAAGCCCTGCCAGGCTGCTGAGTTAGCCGTGTCCAAAGTCCAGGCACGTGGCTTCAGTCCGGCATGCAAATGAGCTGGAATGCTTTTGCCCCTTGGCCCTCAAAGCTGTAGGCAGAAGCCCGACTCCCACAGAGCTATTCAGCAGGTGCTAAGTAGAGGGCAGGTGTACCATTGGCCATATGTTGCACTTAGTATAGTGTTTCCTTAAAGTTCTGTAAATTGCAAGCCAGGTGAGAGGAGCTGAGCAAAAACAGGCATGTGCCTAAAAAAGCAGAGCTAGATTGCATGTTCAATATGCTAATAAAGGCCGATCATTATAAGCAGTGATTTAATACTGGTTCTTCGGTGCTTATCTTGAAATAAACATGATTCCCCAGAAGTATTCATGAAAAGGATTCTTCTTTGGCTGCTTAGTTTATCCAGGAGACATGTTATCAGATGGCATTGTCATTCTCAATTTCCTCAGGCTTCGTATTACTCAAGATTTTGCTTAATCGGTAGTGGATGTTTTCTCCATAGATTTTTCGGCACACATTTCAACTCTGCTGAAAAACACAAAAGCAAATGCAGTTGGTTTTTACATGCTTTCTCCACCCCAAAAACTGAATTGTCTCAAATGCTCAGGGGAGCCTCCTTTGATCTTTATGCAGCTGCTGTCTTGTTGCTGCCAACCCAGAGTTCAGACGAGACAGGCTTCAGAAAAAAAAAGACAGCATACAAAAAAGAGGGCAAAACTGCACATTTAAGTTGAACTGCTCTATTTTCCTACCTGCAAGGCTGCCGCTGCTGAATTTTATTCTACTTATATCTAAGCAAAGTACAGTCGAAACCTAATTTGAATCTTTAGGATTTTCATTCTTGTTGATGGTAATTTTCAGTTACTTAAATTGTTTAGAAGGTTTCACTTGCATGCATATCGTGTACTGCTGTAAAACAGTGCAGCCCCCCCCCCTGCAGCTTTCAGTTTTGCAAAAGCAGAAATTTTATATGCAATTTCATAACATATGTGAACAATTTTTAAGAGCATATAGAGGGTGCTTCTCATATTGTACTCTTATAGGCGCCTGATAGTCATGTGAATGAAAGATTCTCAAACAGAGAATTCCGGAATTTGCTTTATCACTTTTAGCCTTTGTCTACTTACGTTTGTTGTAGTCATTCTGCTGTGGAAAAGGTGTGGAAATCGTAAGAGTGGAAAGTCACATGGAATAGCTGCACAGGTATTATTTTTTTTAATCTATGCAGTTTTCAGGTTTGACAACTTATACAGGAGCACTGACCTTTTTTCAGCTGCAGAAATGCTTTCTGTGCAGGAAATGAATCATGCTCAAGGATCCCGACGTCTGCAAATAAGAAAGACAAACTACTTAATATGCAGAACTGGGCTTTTCTTTTTGTTACTCAGACAAGCAAAGAGTGCAGATCATTGATATTGCTCTTCTCCTCTTTACATATTGACTGCATACTCTGCTACTCCCGCTTGCATTATCTAAAGATTGGGCAGTAGGCCTAAGGGAGCACACCTTAAGAACTAGCTTCTTGTTTTCCTCTATACCCTGTAATTTCACAGTTGATCATTTCGGTGTGGCAAAGTTATAATACAGCCAGACAGGGTGCCCTGCCCTTTCAAGATGAACTTTTTGTTCCCTACCAAACAAAGCTGAAGTTTGAAAGTGCCTGAAAATGTTGACTGTGGCTGGCCAAAAAGTGGCCTTTGGGAGCTCGTGCTGCCAACTGTTGAAAATTTACAGCCCTGTATATCTTTCTATTTGCCCCCTCCCCCCCCCTTGTTCACCGCTTAAGGAGGCCACAAGCCTGCAGCTGACAGCTGTGCCCCGGGTGGCTCAGGAACAGCTGCTTTTTTTTTTTTTTATCCTGGGGTGAAATTAAAAGATTAGGGGGCCGTGGGCACGTGCTGGCTTCTGGGGGCCAAGACAAGGCTTGATTTAGGGTGGAACTTGTCTGCAGCGGCTGACAAAGGAGCTGGATTTTGCACTCGCCATGAGGTCAAAGGGGGGGAGCACGCTTTACCAAAGACAAAAGACGGGCAGGGGGAGGAGGGAAGGTCTTTGAAAAGAGCGCTTCAGCTCCCGCAACAGCTGCTCCTGCACCAGAAATGTGAGTCTCCTTTCAGGAACACAAGAGGCCCGTCGTCGGAGCAAAGAGGCAGAGAGGCCACGCTTTGCAATGGTGCCATTGTTGGCAGCTGAAGCGAAGAGAGCTTCCAGCAGTCTTTCCAGATTGCACCTTCTAGGCAGAGACAAGAGGGGGAGGGAGGAGGAGGAGGAGGAGGAAGAGGAGGAGGAGGAATGGCTAAGTGCAAAGCCCAAAGAAGCAGAAAAGTGTGTGCCACAGCAGACCACACAAGGGGGAGTGAGCCTCCTTTCTAAGTTGAAATGTGTCCACGGGTACTTGGACATCAAGGGAAATAGTATACACATGGCAATAACATTTATTATTGGTAGATTTCTGAATCTTGAAAGCTTAAACTTGACATCAATAAATATTGGAATCAGAAAAGGTGTATCTGGGCCTATCTTGTTTATTTCTTTATTCTTGGAGTCCTTCTAGGTGAAACATTTATGCAACCTGTTTTATAGACCTTGGTGGGGGAAGGCAACACAGTTTCCACTTGTAACTGGCTCCATCTGTTCTCTGTCCAACCACTTTTTTCCACAATGAATCCAACTTTATTTATTTTTTAAATCAAAACTGTCAGGCCATTTTATTTGTGTGTCCTTTATAAAAGTGCCTAATCGTTTAGGCAGATAATCATTTAAAACTGTGTTTTTCAACCTTAGCAACTTTTAGATGTTGATGGTAACGTGAATTCCAAATACCTTCAACCCTTTGGCAGGGGAATTCTGGGAGTTGAAGTCTCCACATCTTAAAATTGCTGAGGTAAGGAAACACCGATTTACAGAAATAACTAAAGAACACAGTTGCTCTTATTATTACTGCACAAGGTAGAAAAGTTCAGTTAAAATCCATTCAGGACATGTGAAATTATATATGAGTTCTGGTTGCAATAATAAATTAATGGCAAAGAAATAATTGAGTACTGCAGCTGGGATAATGTGTGTTTTGACTTGTGATAAGATATTAGACTACAGTACAAACATGTTTTCAAGATCTTTCAAAACACACTGCCTCTGACTTCTAGAAGGCAGGATGAAAATGTCAGGTTATTTTAACCTTGGCATACATATTGCCTATGGTCAGAGCCATTTGAAGAAATGGAGATACTGAGTGCAGAAAAAGACAATATGTAATATACATGAGCTTGTCCCAGATCTGCTATTGTTTCGATATGTTGAACTATAGCTAACATCCCTCTTAGGAAGCATGGCTGTGCTGGCTAGGGAAAGATGGGAGTTGTAGTGTAAGACCTTCTGAAATATACTAATTCAAGAAATGTTGATTTAGGTAGCATCTGGTGTGCTAGACTAATTCCTATATATTCCTGCTTGTCTTCTAGCTGCAAAATCATAAATGATTAAGTACAGAACAACCCTGAGATAATTCGTTCAGCAGATCAAATGGTTCTGAAAACTATAGCCAAATATGAGAAGGTTTATTGGAAAAGCTCAAAGGTTGGCAAGCATTTGAAACACTTGTTCCAAATGAACAAAAACACAGTTGTGTAGGTTCCTTAATGTGGATATGAAAAAGTTAATAAAGCAACTTCCTTTCCTCCTGTTTGTAGAACATAAATTTTATGGCCCCAAGCTGTTACGCTACTAAATGGTACTTCACATTTGCCACCAGGATAGTTCAAACTTCAGCTGTGAGAGAAGAAAATGTGGAAAAATAAAAGTCCAAGAACAAACTATTATTTCTCGGGTCGTTATTTGTGGGGATGGAGAAATATAGTCTGAGAAGTCCAATCTTTTTTTTTTTAATTAAAATGGTGTGGAGTACAATTCTTTAATATATGCCTGAGACTTGATTTGAGATTCATCAACAAACCAGTAACCCTACATGACCTCTGCAGTTGCCTTGAAAGATTAAGCAAGATGCAGGTAGCCCTCGATTTCTGGTCACAATTGAGCCGCAATTTCTGTTGCTAAGCAAAACAGTTGTGAAGTGAGTCTACAATCTTTCTTGCTACAGTTGTTAAGTGAATCTCTTCAGTTGTTCAGTTAGCAACATAGATGATATGCAAATCCGGCTTCCCCATTGACTGGGACACTGCAACCATCATAAGTATCAGTCAGTTGCCAAGCATCTGAATTTTGATCACGTGACCATGGGGATGTTGGTTTTAAGTGTGAAAAACAATTGTGTCACTTTTTTAAAGTGCCGTAACTTTGAATAGTCATTAGACAAACCCTTGTAAATCGAAGACTACCTGTACAAAGTAGGGGAACAGTGCTAACCATTTCTCCCATCCTCCTTCCATCTATCACACTAAAAACAATGGGCTAACATAAATGGTTTGTACCAGGGTAGAGCATTATTACTCCCACTATCAAGTACAAGGCAAATTGTCTATGGAGATTTTCAGTCATTCAGGTCATGATTGTCCCAAAGATGCTTTTTCAGAGCTGAAGAAGCTTCTTGGATGAGAAGCGAAACACCTTCAAAGAAAAACCAGAAAGCCCAGTTGCCTCTTGAAAAAAGCACCTTTGGGTCAAGGGAAATTGTTCAGGGACAGAAGAGCTCTTCACTTGAAGTCTATCAGCTTGCCTTACTCAGCTTCAGTAATTTGCAGCCATTAAGTGTGCACAGACTTTACTGCAGTCTATGTAGAGCACAGATAGTACAGATAGAGTTGATGTGTACTGAGCTTAAGAACAATTTGGTTACCCTAAAAAGGCAGGACCAGAAGGGCTTTGCTTTCCCTCCCAGATGTGATTCTGTGATACAGCAGGTAATCTTGTGTAATGTCACATGAAATCCTTGGCCAATGCTCTAAAGCAATGTTTCCCAATCTTATCAACTTTAAGATGGGTGGAGCAATTCTTGGAATTCCCCAGCCAGCATGGCTTCTTGGGGAATTCTGGGATTTGACATCTGCTCATTTTAAAATGGCTAAGATTGAGAAACACCGCTCAAACAACTGTATTTATATTTCATATGTAGTATGAATTTATATTTCTGTATTTATATTTCATATGCAGTAAAGAGAAGGCTAGAATGTGAGTTTGGAAATCATAATGGTGAAATTGTGTTATTGGTTCTACCATTGCCAGTAATAATAGACAAGAAGTTAACAGGCCATTGCTCTGCACAAGTGCTCTATAATTGTAGATTTATCTTTCCATATAAATATTTGGTGGTAGCTACCATTTCTGTACTACTGCTTTAAATACACCAAAATCTACACTGGTAATTAAGGGCAGAGAGACCCTGACAACAGGGGAGGAAGACACAAGTATCCCATCCCAAACATATTCAAATTGTGCAATTCTCCTCTTGCAGTCCAAAGGCAATAGCAATACCAATAGGCTACCAATAGCACCAACTCCTGCGTGTGAAGATCTCATTGTTTCAGTCTGCCTCTTGGTTCTCTTGCTGAGAGAGCAGGTGATTGTCAGCAAACTGGTTCTGCCTGACCTAAATGGCTGATCCCTTGGGCACCGTGATGCCAAAAAGAGCCCGCGATTGACCTGGTTGCAATCAAACATAGATGGATTAAAACTAGAAGCATCCTTTTCCTGCTAGGATCTGCTCCCCCAATACAGAGAATGCATGTTAAGCATCCCCAGCTGCATGTAGTACAACAGGAGACCATGTGGGAATGAGCATATCCTGTGGGGTTGCCTTCCTCAGGGACGTTTCCCCTTCCCTCCCTGAGGATGAGATCAGCTCCTTCCCTTAAAACTTCCAAGGAAGACCGAGCGATTCCACACAAGCGGATTTTGTTGAAATATTACTGATTATGAACTTTTGTCCTTTATTGTTGTTTTGTGGATGTTTAGCTGTGTTAGAAGACTCAGTTATCCAGTCATTTTGACCAAAGCAGCATAAAAGATATAGACATAAATAAATATAGCATATGGTGTAGTGGTGGAACAAGGAGTAGGAAGACCCAAGTTTTAATCTAGACCATCCTCACTCACTGGCACTCACCAGGTAACTTTCAGCCAACCACTCTCAGTTTTAATTTACCACATAAGATTGTTGTTGTTGGGAAAAATAGAAGGAGCATTTGTATGTATCTTGGGCTCCTGAACAAAAAAAAATGAGTGTAAATAAAACAGATAATTCACAATGGTAGGTGCTACAGAGAGAGTATTATTGTATTATTGCTTTAGTCATCACATGCTTACAGGTAATCGTCAACTTGTGATCATAATTTGGACTACACATGGAGATCATGTGACCCCAGGATGCTGCAACTGTCATAAATACACCCAGCCAAATTTTGACCATGTGACCCTGGGAATGCTACACCCATTCTAAATGTGAAGACAGGTTGTAAATCCCTTTCTTTAATGCTGTCATAACCTCAAACTGCTTCTAAACAAAATAGTTGTAAGTTGAGGACTATCTGTACCACAAAAATATATACTAAATACTTAAGCTGAAACAGCTGTCTGTGTGGGCGTGCCTGGGTGAATGACCCTGAGCACCTGTGTAATTTTCCTCATATTTCTTAAAGAAAGGCTACAACTAGGCTTCTGACTTAATAAAGTCTGTAATATGCACTTCAACACAATGTTCAACCATTTATAAATAAGGATTATAGTCAGCAGCGCATTGGTATTAAGTGTCTAGTCCAATATTTCTCAACCTTAGCAGCTTTAAGATGTGTGGACTTCCATTCCCAGAATTCCCCAGCTACCTTAAATCTGCTAAGGTAAAAAAATGCTGATCTAGCCTTAAAACTGCACTTTGGAAGCCTCTGGGCATATAGATCACTTTGAAGAAAGGCTATGATGTTCACAAAGTGCCTGCTGAGAAAATATATATTGTTAAATGAATGATGGATTTCTTTTGGCTAATACATGAAAGTGGAGCTCTAATCAACTAATTCACACTTGCAACATGGGTTGCACAGACATTTTCTTCACAAGGGCCTCTGTTCTAACCAAGTTTGTGCCAAAAATGATAAAACATGCATTGTGACATCACAGTGGAAGCTCTGCCCTTTTCTACTTGCGTGACAACAATTCACACGAATATGTAACGGGTGGAGTTTGTGTTACAATGGCCATTGTGCCTCCTTCGCCTCCTCCCCCTCCGTCATGCCTGTGAGTCTGTATTATGCACGGTCCCAGAACAAGCCATTGCATAAACCTCGGACAGTTTGTCTTCAGCTGCCCTCCATGTTTGTCAATCTCTTTTACATATGATACTGAACCAAACAAAGACAGAAAATGCATCTTGTTTGTAATTCTAATTTGCTGTGTCATAGCTTATCCTTCAGCTAAAACATTCATTGCCAAATAAGGATAATTAAACTGCACAATTCGAGAAACGGAATTCTCAGTCGCCCACATGTTCTAGAACAGATTCGTGTCCCTAAATCTGAAGGAGTGAACTGAATCAGCTTCCCCACCCCCATTTCTCCCACTTCATCATGTGGAGATCTTCTGTTGTCTCCACTCCCCCACAGAAAAAGACTATAACTGTGAACGTAGGAGAAAATCACAGCCTGTGGAATGTAGGTGAGAGCCCGTGTTTTCATGATTGCCTGGGCATTTGTGCAAGGAACCCTCAGAAGTTAAGCAGCCTGATTGTTGCTGGGCTAGAAGATTTGGGAGAGGGAGGAGGAGAGGGGAGGGAGGGAGGGAGAAAAGGGTAGCTGGGAATCTTAGACTGGAAAGTTGAAAGAACATCCCCAAAGACAATGGCTAACCACATCCTTATTGTGCCAAGAAAACTGAGCATGCACTTCTTTGAAGTTAGCAGAAATGAAGTTTGATTTAAAGGAGCTTTATCTTTACCCTGCCAACAATCTTCTATCATGGGACTGAGCAATTGACAGAAGCCTAGTTGCAACCATAACTGATTGACAGTTGGTTAAAGCTGTGATGTTATCTTTGCGGTGCACAAAAGTCACAGCTGTCATGCTAACATTGGGGGTAGAGGGGTGGAGTTCTTGCTCTCGCCACCTTCCTTGCTGGGGGAGCAGGTGACTGCCAGCTGTCTGAATCCACTTGACCCTCTGTGCCTAGTCCCTTGAGAGGCACAACTCAGAGAACCAAACAATGCAGGCCTTGCCACCCCAAAGACAACCCAGAAGCCAAAGGCTTCAATGGGGCTTTGGGGTACCACAGAATGCCTCTGTATTCTTGGAGAAGGATTCAGCAGGTGCTTCTTCAAAGAACTGCAGCTGGTAACAAAAGCTACACGAATCCTTCTTGCTGGGCCACAAAAGAGGACGGCTGGGAGTTCGTTAGACTTGCTCTGCCTGAATCCAGAATCCTCTTCCTGATGTTCGTCTTGGATGGTATAATATTGAAAAAGTAAATCCCTCTGACCATGTGCAAAGTGCCTTCACAAACAAGGCTATAAGCACCCTCAGTTCTTCTGTATTTGGAGATAGGACTTGCTGAATGTAATTCTCTCCCTCCCTCCTCCCTTCAGTGGCTGTAATCCACAACATTATTTTGATTCATTTCTTTGTAGCATGCTTTCTTCCAGACAGATGGCTTTTAGAGCTTCCAATTATTACATATTAGGCAGGTTATCTGTCATCCTCTCCTAAACTGAAAAAAAGCATACAGAAATAAAAGGAAGGAGACTTACAGATAGATTTCATCATTGTCTGGAATGCCCCCCCCCAATAAAATGCTAAAATCACAGACAGGAAATTGTATAATAAATGTAGCCTGTATCATCTTTGATATGACAAGCAATTACATGAACACACGCTGTTGTTGACTCACAACAGGTTGAGCCTAGAGTCCCATCTTCTTCTAGATTTCAGCTGGGATGTCATCTCATCTAGTCACTCTACCATTTTTCATGACGCAAATGGCAGCTGCAACTTTGGTGGGCATGATGGAGAGCATCGCACCCTAGACTGAGTTGGCTACAGGGATCGGGAGGTGTGGAAACCCCTCATTGCATATTCCATTGAAGTGATGAACGATAAGCCAGGAAAGACTTATTCAGGCATTTCTGATAAATAGAGTGGGGCACAGAATCAAGCAGGTATCTTGACCCTCAGCTTCTCCCATGCCATATATTACTTCCCTCCTTTGCATTTAGGAAGAGGCTTTCTATAATGCACTGTCCACAGTGAGGGCAGAGTCAAAACCCTACATAGCACTAGTTGGATAGTTTCAATTTAGAACAAATGAGTCCCACTGACCTCTTGCCAATGACTGCCAGAACAAACATGACAAGCCTACCATAGGGCATTTGTGTACAGCAGTGGTTGCCAACCAGTGGGCCGTGGACCACTGGTGGTCTGTGAGAAAATTTTGGTGGTCCGCAGAGAAATGTTACCCCCAAAGCACCCCCCAAAGCAATTAATTCAGGCTGTGCAGGAACACAAGGCTGCGCCGCCCACATGGCCCGGAGAAACACAAGCCTTGTGTCGCTTGCATTGTGAACAACACGAGGTAGGAGAGGGTGGAAGGGTGGAGGGGGGGGGACTTGCCCCACTCGCACTACATGCCTCGCCTGGCCACCGGGCTGCTTCTTTCTTCTGCTTTTGTCTGCATGCAAGGAAAGCAGCAAAAGTCTTTCTTTCTCTCCCCCAAACTCTGCCAGAAATGAGTCTTTGGGACCCTGCAAGGCAGTCTGCTCCAAGATGCTGCGCCATTCTGGCGGAGTTTGGAGGAGAGGAAGAAAGACTTCTGCTGCTTTCCTTGCATGAAGCCAAAAGTCTCTCCCCCCCCCTGCACCGAGAATGCAGCTGGAGATGGTATCCTGCAATCCCAAATAAAGAAAGATTGATTGGTAAGAAAACGAGGTGGGGAATTTTCCTCCAGACATTTTTTGGGATTTACCCAGGGTCTCTGGTCTGCGGGATTTAAAATTATGAGTTTGGTGGTCCCTGAGGTCCAAAAGGTTGGCAACCCCTGATGTAGAGAACAGAACACACATACTCTTTTCCACTTCCTTACAATATGTCCTTATGGTTCCTATAATGAAGGGTTTATCTATCAGTGCAACTTGAACCTCCTCGAAGAATCAGCCAGCATTCTGTTATCTCTGGTTTGTGCATGGGGCAACAGTTTGCATGTTCTTTAAATACAGGAAGACTGTTTCTAAGGTATATGATTTGTTATACATCAGATATTTAAACTACTGCATAACAGGTAGCTATTAATAGCCATGTAGAATAACATTTGTTGCCTGAGAATAATGAAACCATGCTACAGAGAAACCATTCTGTGGGAGTACAGTGCTTTGAATGCATAGCACATATGGTTGTTTTTCTAAGTCTCATTTTCTCAGAAGCAACTCATAGACTTACTTTCCTTGGTCCAACATGCAGAAGGGTTTTATTCTCACGTTGAATACCAGCTGGAGATGCAAGATGTACATGTCTCAAAATATTCCAAAGGCTGTAGAAAACGATGCAGATTCAGCTTTTCTCTTCTTCCTGTAGCCCTTCACAACCTGTTAGGATCAAAACTCACATTCTGCTTACGAAAGGCATGAGAAAACCTGCAATCTCTGCTTAGCTCTTCAAGTACTATAGAATATTCTGACCCATCTGATTACCTTAGTACCTCAAGTAATTTCTTAAAGGAAAATAACATTCATTCTTTGAAGTTCCTAATTAGATTTATAAAGCCATGTATAACTTCTGTGCCATGCTTAGTTGTTGAATAAATGTTAAATACAGGTACTACTGTTCATAGGCTAAAATGTTTATTACGAACCCTTAAATATATTTCAGTAGTGATATGGGTAAGTACAAACCAGGCTTTTAAAAGCAATTGCACAACAAAACCACAACGACAGTCCTTAAAATTCAATGCATCCTTTGCTGAAATAATGTTAGCTGCAGAATGTATTTAACAATATTCTAAAATTAACGTGCAAATTGGAATTTCCTTCTGAAATTGCTTCTTTCTAAAACGAATGTTATTGTGCTAAATTAATTAACAAAAGAAAATACAATACATAAAACATTACTAATGAAACGACATCACTCAAAACTAATAACAACAAAGAAAATGGCCTTGGAAAATTATGTCATAAATAGTACCAAGTTGTCACGCACTGCTTCCCTTGCACTTTTGTCATTAGGAAAATCCCCACACAAATTAGTTGACTAACAACATATGTAACAAATTGATTGCTGCAAATCAAATATAGCTTCCTGGGTTAATACTTTTTTTTAGCCAGCTCCCATGCCTGGGCCACACAGGCAAATAGGTGGATTTGCTTATTTCAAACACTAAGCAACAGCTGAAAAGGCTGCTTTGTACTTGTCCATATCAACCATTTTCACTGGTTGACCAAAGAATAAGATTTCAAATGCAAATTTTAAAATCAAGCTTTCAGACCAGGGTCTAACTAAAGACCGTACTGATGAAGCGCTTTGGAAATTACAGTACTAAAATATACCTTGGGAAACTCTGCTCAAAATAGTAACACTGGCATTTCTTGTTATAGCAAGGGATATACTGTAATGAAGAATGCTTTCAACATCAAGTCTAAACAAGATCTACCGGTTCTTCAGATGAGCTGTGTTGCTAATTTTCACAGCAAGAACCTTTAAAAAAAAAAAGACACCTGAGCCAAAAATCTCCCTATGATCTTCTTATCTCTCTCACCTTTTTAAAGCAGATACATAAAGATAATGGCTTTCCTATTGTATAATGTTGCTAGTAAGGGGACGCGGTGGCTCAGTGGCTAAGGCACTGAGCTTGTCAATCAGAAAAGTCGGCAGTTCGGCGGTTCAAATCCCTAGCACCGCGTAATGGGGTGAGCTCCCGTTACTTGTCCCAGCTTCTGCCAACCTAGCAGTTTGAAAGCATGTAAAAATGCAAATAGAAAAATAGGGACCACTTTGGTGGGAAGGTAACAGCGTTCTGTGCACCTTCAGCATTTAGTCATGCTGGCCACATGACCAGACATCTTTGGACAGCGCTGGCTCTTTGGCTTTGTAACGGAGATGAGCACCGCCCCCTAGAGCCGGAAACGACTAGCATGTATGTGCGCAGGGAACGTTTATCTTTACCTTAATGTTGCTAGTACAGGTAGACCTTGACTTACAACAGTTTCTATAGTGACCTTTCAAAGTTACAGCACTGAAAAAGGTGACTTGTGATTGTTTTTTCGCACTTAACAACTGTTATAGCATCCCCATCATCATGTGATCAAAATTCAGCCGGTTGGCAATTGACTTATATTTATGATGGTTGCAATATCCTGGGGTCATCTTTTGCAACCTTCTGACAAGCAAATTCAATAGGGAAGCCAGATTCACTTAACGGTGTAACTAACTTAACAACTGCAGTGATTCACTTAGCATCTGTGGCAAGAAAGGTTGTAAAACGGGGGAAAATTCACTTAAGTTTCTCGCTAAGCAATAGAAATTTTGGCTCAACTGCAGTCATGAGTCAAGGAGTCCCTGTAATAGGCATAACGTCACTTTCACATCTTTTTAGAACTTTCACGCGGAACTTAATGAGGTTCTTCAGCCATAGTAGACATAAAAGCAAAGCATTCATGCACTCACCATGTCAGCGTAAACCCACTGATTTCACACTTTCAGCAATTACATTAATGTGAGGAATGTGAAAGTAAACTTGCCCTCTTAGCCACATTATTAATAGCGATCTGAGCTTGTTAAATGGAAATGACCTATTGTCCTCAGTAACAAAAGTCTTCAATTCCTTGCTACAACTATTTTTTTAAGATGGATGAAATTTATTTAAGAGCAGTTTTGATGAAAAGTCCATGATTATAACAAATATTGTTTTAAGGAAGGGTTCGATATCTTCATTAATTGGGGTGATTTGAAGAGTCCACCACATCTGAAAACTTGGCGAAGGCTGTTTTAGAAAAACAAGATAATAAATGTGCAGTATTGTACTATTCTTGCTTATATAATTACAGTTTCTTTTCTTTTATACATTTTGTACATCAGAAGGTTAAATTAGAAGATCCTGACTTGCGCAAGCACAGTGTCCTTTGTGCATAATCACACACACATTCTGTTCTTGCTGTAACATACCAGTGCGAAAGAAGTAGTTGGACATGCTACTGTTGTGTGTGTGTTGCAGTAGATGAAATGAATAATCGGCCAAACACAATTAACTTTTATGAAATAGTTAGAAAAGACTGCTGATGAAACTCCAAGCAATTCTACAGTTCTTTCAAACTACATGATTCAACAGATATTAATCTCTCTCTCTCTCACACACACACATACATACACATTTTCCCTGAGACCTTCCATACACACTTATTGATCACTATTGGCCAATGTGGTGATCCAGCTTTATATATCTGTTTTGCTTTGCTGACCCGCATTGGATTTCCCGCCCCCAATAAGTCTTATTAAGTTGTATCTAAGAGTCAGTATATCTTGAAACAGTGTGTTTGATCCCGAATCCTAATTTGTTTTCCAGTCCTGGTTTCTTCTTATTTCCTGATTTATTTATTTATTTTAGTTCTGGCTCATAGTTCCTTAGTTCTGATTTTCTAGGTTGTTGCCATTGCCAGGTCAAAGGGAACAGTTTCATTGTTTGTAATTCTAAACAATAAGACCGTCTTACCGTCTTACATTAACAATTTTATTGGAATCAAAAGTATTTTTTTTACTAAATAACAGTTCTTCTAGATTAGCTGGTGATTTATGTGCCCCAGCAAATATTTATAGAAAAGATAATGTTAATATCTAATTAAAATCTTAACAGACTAGCAATACTTTACATATTGCCAGAGTGAAATGCAAAATTATGATCCACTTTTATGTCAGTTTTGAAAAGCTTTAAAAAAAAGGTTGAAAAAGATGTCATCCTGCTAATCAATTGACCCAAGAACTTTTTGTACATAGAAGAGAACTCCAAGTCATAAAAGTATTGTACATCTAAGTCATAACGTTCTTTAGCTGCCACAATCTAACAAAATCAATATATAAAAAGGGAAACAAACATACAAAAAATAGCACTAGCTTTCCAAATAGCAAAGAAACAAGCAGAAACTGTTACACAGCGTCCCATCAACATGCAGAATTTGAGTACTGGAAAAACTGGCTGTCAAACTCTTAAAAGACTACATATTTGCTGAATGAAATGAATATCACAATATGATTTCAACTCGGCTAGTCTGAAATTAGGAGGTGAAGATCTTATTAAATAAAATCATAACAGCAATATCCACAATCAACAGACTATTGTATTAAAAATATGATGTATGATCAGAGGTGGTATTCAGCAGGTTCTGACCAGTTCTGGAGAATCGGTAGTGGAAATTTTGAGTACTTCGGAGAACCGGCAAATACCACCTCTGACTGGAGATTTTACAGTATCCTTCCCTGGCCACACCCACCAAGCCATGCCCACAGAAACAGTGGTGAAAAAATTTGAATCCCACCATTGTGTATGATGATCAAAAGCCAACAGTCTAAGGTATGAGCAATTATTCCAACTGAATTTAAGCATTCATTTCAACTTTGCAACGCAAATTGATCTCCATTTCTCCAGTCCAATCCAGGCCTCTGTCCCAATTTGCTGTCTTCTCCCAGATTTTTGTGGTTACTTTGCTCATCTTTAAGAAATACTCGGTTTGATGTTGGCTTGTACAATAAACCAGGATTAAAACACCATGGCTTAGTGTGTTGTGGCTGTGTGTATATGAGAGTGGGAAGTACGTAAAAATATAATTAGTTACTTAGAAAACAGGGCAAAATAGTTTGTCTCCATTAACTGTTGTGCATCTCTATATATTTGGTTTCTACAGTATTTTTCAGTTTGAAAACGAAGTGCTGCGTTGATACAGTCCTGGCTGTTGCATTGGACTGTCTACCCAACCCCACTCACTGCATTGGGGAGGTAGGGCAGAGAGGCAACATAGCTGCTCCACTTCATGCTTCTTTCTGCTGCTCAAGCCAGCTGCTACTGGAATGCAGCAATTTCAGTGCTGTCATTGCACAAATGGAAGAATGGAGTGGTCTAGCCAGAACAGAGGGAAAGAATTCAGACAGCCACCAAGAAGAAACCTCAGTCAGACAGCCACCAAGAAGAAACTGTTATTTATTGTCTGCTGCAGCACATAACTGCAGCTTTCATGTTCATAGCAATGTTTGAAGGCATTCTGGGGGTTGCATCCAAGGTTAGGGAGGGGCGGGGACACACAGTCTGGACTCCATGGGTTATAAACTTCTCTTTAGCCAATAGTTTACTTAGGACTGGCACCTCAGCTAATTGCATTTAAAGACTCCAGTGGCTGGCCAGACACTCTAACAAACATACTGCTGAGCAAATTAATGCCAAAGGCTTCATCACATTTTCCACAAATAGTACATTACCACAACCTATTGAAGTATTCTGAACTAAATAAAGTGTTGGCATAGGATTGATAAATCTTGGGATTTATAGCAAACGCTTCCTCTGTGTCTGAGGAAAAACAAACAGCTCCACATTTGCCATTCTGGATTCAAACACAAGAGGCGAATCTATTGCAGGCTTAGTCAGAGCTCTTTCTTTCTTTACGAAATTATTATTTCAGTCAATGTGGTGCAGATAGAAGTTCAAATGAATAGTTGAGCACATAATTTAATCTTATCATAAATGAGGAAAACATTCTAGGCCTAAATGTGTTGCTCTTAGAATGCTTTGTCTAAAGACAACACATGGGCTCAGGGTGGAAGCCAAACTTTTTTCCATGAATAACAGAAAGAATAAATCACAGATTACCTTTCTCTTACTGCATACCAAGTGATGAAGCACGTGGCCCTTGAAAAGCTTGAGTGTGGGCCTCAGAGAAAGAAGGCAGTGGGCTTTGCTTTTATTTTTATATACTAATAACTTGCCCTGTCAATGTTATGGGAATATCTTGGTGGCTCCCCTAGTGAATCACCAAGATCGCTCCCCCAGCATTGACAGGGCAAGCCCTTAATATATTAAAATCAGAGCAAATCCTATTCCCTTCTAGCACTAATGATGTTACCTAGTTTGGTAATGAAATGTCTGCAAGAAAGCCACCAAGTTCAGAGAGCACCAAGGATCCAAAGTTCAATCTTGAGCTACAAATATAATCTTACATTTAAATATGAAATTGCCTTATTCAGTTTTTTTTTATGCAACTCTGCATTAGGTTTCTGTCATGTCATCTAATTATAGCAATGCCAGTGACTGGAATGTGCAGATACTATATTTCTTGGTCTTGAAGTCCAACAACTGTACTTTGGACTTCCTTCAACTTCTTGGCATTTATTTAAGTACAAGGAGAAAAAGGGTACAGGAGAAATTAAAGCTGTACAAGTAGGTAAATACTAGAAATTGTGCTCAAACATTTAAGAACCAAGCCAAGATGAGATTATTTGAGCTCTGACTTTTTCACGGGAGATATGAGTTTTGACATTCAGATTCATGCAGGGGAAAAAAAGGAAATTTACATTTTGACAGGACCAGGAAAAATTAATTCAATTACAGTTTTTTTTTTAAAGAGTTTGCTACTGAAAACATTTCTGCAATGGCTACAGCCATGCTTTTTACCAAATCATGGATTGAACAACATGGTTTAGTAAATGAGCCAGAAAAAAGCCAGTTCAGTCTTATAGATGAGCAAAATTTGCATA